AGTAGTTGTCATGATTCCCAGCATCAGACAGTGGACTTGGTACATTCTCAAACGTTTCGCCGGCATTATTAGTGAGCTTTGTAATTCTCCGCACCAAGCCACGAACTCGCCAAAGAGACAAGGGAAGTCAATTCCTCGACAACTGTTGTGCCGAAAACGGTCGAGGGATTGACTTCACTTGTCTCTTTGACGAGTTCGCAGCTCGGTGCGGAGAATGGCAAAACTCGCTGATGATTCCGACTACGATGCTGGCGAAACGTTTGAGAATGTATCAAGTCCACTTTCAGATGGTGTGAATCATGACAACTGCTGTGGCAGACGACTTCGGACTAGGTGGGTTCTACATAGTCGCCCTGACAACAAGACCAAGTTGTGACAACGAGGTCAACCCACTTCTATTAATCGAAAGGAGATTGCGACCATAACAGAGGCTACAACATCTTGGTCTTCATATATGCATTTAACTGACCAAGATTGAACAAGTTTTAATACAATATATTAAGAAAAATGCTGCATAGTAAAACAAATTTTTGTGGGTAATACTGACATTTTTGCAAAAGACCGTATATCAGGCGAATCTAATTCCCAAGAGTGATATTAATAACGATATATAAATATATATATGGATATGTAGTAGAAGCTAGGAGCTAATTAATTAAGGATGGTACCATTCAGCGTAAGTTAGAGCCCTACAAAAAATGTGGAACAAGATAAAATCCCCATGCTGTTGCAAGAACTGAATTGTAAAATTGGGAACACATGGAAAAGGGCCACGCAACAAGGTAGCCTCGTTTTTCGGGCGCCAGACAGTGCTGATTACAACACGGCTATGCAACATTTGTCAATTTTGTTTATGCCACTCGCCTACACTGTACCTGTTTCATTAGTTCAGGCAAATCCAGGCCAGTTGGAGAGACGCCTTTGATACCATATCGCGAGGAGTGTGCGAAGAGACCTCCTCACCTCAAAGTAAAATGCCTTCTGCAGGGTAATTAAAGGATCCGGCTGATCAAGAAGTATGTATGTGCTTATTCAAGGGCGTTCACAGAACAAAACCGATGCCAATATCTCTAAGAGTTTACATTTGAGCAGCCTGATTTTGGCTTCTGTTAAGCGTCCTTTTTTAATAGGTCTGTATTTGCCATAGTTCTGAGTTCTAACCTATTATCCGAGGTTTTGGAATAAAGGATAGGAACCAAAAAAACTCCCCTCCTAACAACCGGACGCTCTTTCAGTCTGAGGCGTAGTGCCTGAATAGCTTCCTGAATTGAAATGTCGGTATACCTTGTTACCACATCGAAACCTACCAAAAGATCTGTATCAGTAGTAATATGCCGTAATTAGTAGTAATTGGTTGTAGTAATTATTAAATTAATATGCATTGTTT